AAACACGAACACGCAATAATACTGTTATAGGTACTATTATAATATAAAATAATATTTATATCTAACTACACGACTACCGCGGTGGTTGCTTAACGGTTAAAGTCGCGACCGGGTAAATATTATATTATTGCATATAATGGGTTCAATGTTATAATAACGTATATTGCAGGAGATAATAATATTATATTATACCGGTACTGCAGGATTCTCGCGATTCATCTGCCGACCATAAAAATGTTTAATATATTTTATCATTGCACGCTTAAATTTAAGATAACATAATATGGTATATTATATATATTTGAATATATAAATACATTAACGATATTATATTATATTTTTATGTAATATGTAGGTACCGTAAAGGTAATTAAAATTTGTCGCCGTCCAATTACTTAACCGCCTAAGTAGGTACTTTAAATGTATGTTTATGTGATTCAGAGCCAAAAATACAAACGGGAAATGTAAAATAAAAAGTCATACCACAAAACTTGTCGAACGCGTTATCGGATGCCGTGAGTCTCTTATTGTAAAGAAAAACTGATAATGCATAATAAATTCGACATTCGTCCCGTTAGTCTAAGAGGTATGGACCATACAAATCATTAAATGCACAATAATATTTCGACTAAAATACGACACAACAAAATTCTCAGCAGCTCTGCACAGTTGGCATATCTTAACATAAATTAAATTTCGTAGTGGTTGCACAAATCTTGCATAATTGTTATAATATTCGTATAACTGTACACCTGTTAACCTGTAAAATTAAAACAAATTTTGGTAATAATAAATTGCGTGTCAATGGAAGGTATACATATAGGTAATATACTACAACCACGGCAAACTGGCCTTCTGTACGAATTTTGGTAAATAATAATATATATTCGTCTGGGGATATAGTTGTATGACTTAACTGGTGGAAGAGGAGTATAATGACGTCAATGTTTGTACATGCAAATAATATTCTTATAACGGTTGAAAATACTCGAAAAAGGTCATCAACCGTTGAGTTAGTCATGTGCACTGTCAAAAACGCGTATTTCTAGTTTTATCTGCAGTTATTGCACTGACTTAACAGTTATTCCATTTTGTAATTTTTATTAATATCTGGTAATTTAGTCGAAGATTGTAAAATATCATATACATATTATAAGTACCTATATAATGTAATTTATTATGTTATGATTTACGATAGTATTATAATTCAAAATACGAATGAGTGTAAAATATAATATAGTCAGATCAGGTTTGGGGTATGTCAAATATGTCAAACTATATAATATAGGCACCTACTATGGACCTCAAACATGTTTTAAATTTCAAGTTCCATCGAACTCGTCCATAACTCCAAAATAAATGACCTAACACTGTTATATAGATTCCAAGTCGTAATTATGATGTTGTTATGTTGGAAACGTAACTATATACAAACGTTAAACTATATATTATAGAGTAAAATTTTTTTTACATAATTTTTATTTTGGCTACGTCGAACAATATTAAACTTAATCGATAATATTTTAGATGAAATAATGACGAGAAGAACTGTGTAAATAGTGAGGTCCGAGTGGAGGTATACCTATATGTTTCGATATAAGATTTGTATGTCTTATAATTTAATATGCTATAAAAAAATGACTTATAAATTATAATGAGTTCTGTGATGAAAAAACTACTTAATTTATGTACGTCGCACATATGCGTATATCTACAAGTTTATAAAAATAAAATCGAAAATTCGTATAATTGGTGTAATTATGTTCTATCCGATAAAAAACAAAATAAATATATTTTATATCATGTAATAACAATTTTGTATGTGCCTAATTTATTTTTAGATTAGAAATGTATAATACTAGTTATAGTAAATATATTATTTACCTTAGACGTCGCGATAAAGACGTGCCAGACGTGGAATGAAAAAAAAAAACAAAAAAAAAACAAAAAATCGTTTTCAATACCAACAGGTAATAGAATGGAAATATTATGTTAATCGAATATAGACATTAGATACATTATTGCAGTATTAGGTATTTTTTACGCAGACGGATTATTGAAAAACACTTTGAAGATACTCCTATTTTTTAAGATGGAGTCTGATGATTATTTTGGCGTGTTTGTTTTTTGTTTTCCACTAATTAATTTAAATATTCACCTATCGATTATATTACTCACTGTAAGAAATAAGAATACAAATTAATTTAAAATCGTACATTATAATGGTGTGCTTCGTTTTGGTGATTTGGTTGATACGAAAAAAAAATACTATCAACAAGAATTCTCGTTTATTCACTGATGACAATGCACGTACACTTTAATAGATCGGAGACCTATTACAATGGTATTCCTACATTAACGTTAAATTATTTTTGTATTAATGTACCTACCATAATTTTTGAGCTAGAACCACCATGACTAGAAGCTAATAACAATAATGAAAATAATAATCGTCATCACCGGGGACGGAGGACTATGTATCGTTTTCTTAAAAACGGAGGACGTTATTTCCGTGCATTATAGTTGTTTAAAACAAAATCGAAAACACCTGGGCAGCCTACGATATAAGAGCGGACACGCACTTCGTAAACGAAAGTTTGCTTGATCTTCGTTTACTCGAAAATATTTACCGGAAATGCCAAGTATAAAACACACATATACTGTGTACATATAAATACGTTTCGGGACGGGTTACCGACATAATATTATACACGTGCAGTGCCGAAAGTCGTCGTTTATTGCACCGCGGCCGCGTTCATTAACACCGGACGATATCCGGTAGCAATTAAAAATAAAAACAAAGAGGAAATCCTATTTGTGCTCGTCTTCCCCGCTATTGTTTCGGGGATCTCGACGATAATCGCCGACGCTGTCGATTTACGTTTATTACAAATGCATTAAAACCAGTGAAAGGTCTCGCGACCTAGTCTCGGCGCTGACCTAGACCTTACTCCGGACGGCGAGAAAGTAACTTGCGCCGTCGGACGCGTGTCGAATACGAAACACGACTGTGAAACACGTCGTATAATAATATGTGTAGGCATGTGTAGTTTTGTCGCGCAATCGTTATTTCAAGTTCGAGTAATTTATCGCAGGTATATTATTATTGTAATGCGAAAAACGATACGATTTCGGACTTGAGGTCGTCGTCGCGATACCGTGGCGGCATAACATAAACTCGGGCAGATCAGTGGCGTGGCGTGGGTATTAAAAAGATGTAAGCAGTGAAGTTATTTTTCAAAAGTGATTAGAATATAGGTACTATACCTAAATACCTAATTATAAATTATGTATAAAAGAATGTTATCCTTTTAAAATTTTTAATATTTTTAAAAATATAGGTACTAGTTGTACAAATCAAATTCGAGAAAATAAAGAAATTGAAGTATAAATACTTCAAAAGTCTATTAGGTGAATGACAGTGACAGTGTACGTAAAAACGACTACAGTCTAGAACGCGTCGGGCTACGTACAGGTCGCTCCGGCTCGCGGCTCCTTGTTTCTCGCGTAAGCAAAATCAAATGTGCTTACAAACGCTAGTTAAATACGTGACCCCCACTATGGCATTATAGACTATTCGAAAACAACAGTTGCGCGTAAGCAATTTCAGAATGTGTTACACTGTATATCGTATTATGATTACGCAGTTAACATAATACAGAATGGATTAAAAATAGACCTACAATCGATGATTTTCTTAAAATAGTTGGTAATCAGTAGACAGCGTACGACACAAATAAACAATAACAAAAACCACCACCAGCTATAACTTAAATATTTTATAAATAAAATTAAAATTTTAAAAATCATTTATTATGTACCTATTAGTAGTGATTAATCAAATTTATTTTTTCTTTCATTTACAGTGTAAGCAGTGCTTACAGTGCTTACATGCACGCTACGCCCCTGGGGCAGATACCCATATTATAGGTAGTATATATATTGCAGTGCTTGTTAAGCGATTTTCGAAAACTGCCACTTGCGCGCCTCCATACCCACGTGGGTGAGATCTCTTTCCAAACATTATAATATTGATATAGCGTCTAAGATATGCTCGTCACTCAGATTGATAATTAGCGGCACTGTCCTATATAATACACCACGGCGTATAGAGGTACCGCCTCATCCACATGACTGGGCTTTCTGTGTAGGCGTATTCCCGAATATGTTTCGAAGCCTAGAAAACCCACGTCGGACGAGCTGCCGACACTTTGATTAATGATTATATTCGATAGGTTCGGGCCGTCAAAAGTGTTCACTTTTTCCTATATATTATTATGATATGTAATAATTTATATTGCTATACCTATTATTCAGCCAAGTGTCGCGAATTTCAAACGTTTAGAGTATTCCAATCGTAACGTTTTGTCGAGCTACAACAAAAAATATATGTACTGTACTTTTTTCAACAACCGCTGATTAATTGTAGGCCGTCAAAAAAACAAAATATCGTTATCACTTCATTGGTGATAGACGACCAGTATGCAATCCGTATCTATTTTTAAAACTATTTTATTAGGTATTATTTTACCGTCGAAAAAATAGTAATTTTTTTTATTCCTACTCTAATATTTTGTGCGCTTCAATTACACGTGTAACGTATCTGATATTGTTTTCAAATTTCCTTAAGTACATCCTCCAAAAAAGACCTGCCATCGCAGGTCGTGTAAGTCGTTGCAAAAGGAATCAATATATCTTTGAAATATACGAACAAATTCCCACGCGCTCCTGTGCTTTTTTTTAAATAATATTATTATAAGTTATTTATAACGACGGACGTCGTTAAGAAAGAGGCATAATATTAATTCTCGTGTCTTGGTCCACAGAGTCGTTAGCGCGGTCCAGCACCCACTGACTTCAAACAGACATCGAGCAAACGGCGCCGCCGACGACGACATGACGACGGCCTGACCAGCCAACCACTTCAGCCGATCGTCCGTCCGACAGCGAGAACAGCGACGACACTGACACAGCAACAGATTAACATACTCCGCTTCACGATGAATCGGTACACTTGCGAGGCCGTTCTGACGGTGGCCGTTGCGCTATGCTGCGCCGTGGCCGTCACCGGATCCGACGAGTCAGCGGCTGCGATCGCCCAGACGACGACGACGACGACGACGGCGGACGACGGCCACCGTCAGCTGATAGACACGGTGGACAGTGTGTTGGACTCTGCTGACTCGTATCAGCTGGTGCCCGGCGTCCGGATCAAGCGGTCCGCCGAGGATACCGCCGACGCCACGGCCGTCTCTCAAGCCGACCGTGATAGCGATCCCGAGAATTACCTGATCGACAGGTTGGCCGGTTTCGTCGGCACGCACGACCTAGACGTCGATTTTTCCGAGATGTTCCAGACAACCGGCAGGGCGTTCATCAACCTCCATCATCTGCGTGAGTATGATATTATAGTAAAATAAGATAATTATTATTTATCTCGTGTCACGGATTCGAAATTAATATACTAGGGGTACTAGGGATAGGTTTTGGAGATCAGATTTGAAAATCATAAAATATCGTGGAATAATTCATATGCATAATATGATAATATAAGGTTTAATAACGAGACTTTTGTGTAACGGCTCATATATTATGTTAATATTTATTAATCTCATGGCATGTGCGTTTCACGACGTCTAACATGTCAAGATAATATAATATGTCCCCAGTCTCACCCTTTTAACTTTTAGCGATTTTTTTTTTTATCGAACGAGACTAGTATACGTCATTCTTACGAATTCCTATACGAAGACTGTTGTGTGTGTGTGTGTGTGTGTGTGTGTGTGTGTGTAAGGTACATAATATAGTTTTACTTAAATATTAAGTTTACTATGCTCATTCTGCCTTTTTCAATTTAATAAAACATTGAAAATCACGGATAACGAGAACTCGTTTGTACACTTTACATAATAGATAGACGATACGTACCACACGGTGGTCATTATATCTTATAACATTTATAGCTTTTACATAATTTAATTATATTAATTAATATATAATTACAAACATGATTTAAGATAATATATAAGTTGCACATCGGGATATTATGATAAGGTGACTACCTACCAAACTGAGTTCTTTACGGTGCTAGAAATTACACATTTATTGCACTCCCACGTGAGAAAAAAGTTAAATACAGACACGATTTAAGATATACCAGCTATATATTATTATATTAAATCGTGATTACAGTGTACTCTACCGTGGTGTAAGTAGAGGACGCTGGCGTCTTTTTTCACAGCTGATTTTGTGAGTCAATTCCACAGTCAAACTTTTATAATTTTGATATAGGTAGATGTGCAACCTTTATATTTTAAATCGTACTTATAAGTGATATAATGATTATAGTCGAGAGTATGTTTGGGCCACCATTGATAAAAATGATTACAATTAGCATGACGTTTGTATAAATTATGGAAATACAGCATTCATACGTTTTATGAGATGTGATTGGTGTAACGTGAAAAGAACAGTTTAACATTATAAATTTTGGGTAATAGTATGTACAACTATGTATACATGAATAAATTAAAATAATTTAAGTTATACAATTTAACTTATATAATATAGGTACCATACGACGTTACCGTTATGAATTACAATCCAGTTCCAAATTATTAAATTTTTGAGTTTATTAAATAATTATTTACTTCACAGTTTTAGCAGTAAAATTATGTATATCTACGTCATGCAACCTGTAAATTCATCAACATAACTTATAGCAGTTATGGTAAATTGAAAAATTTACATACTGTAGGTACCTAGGTATATACTGCTAATAATGGTGTACTTAGATACATGCTTACGAATGTAAAAAAAAAGACAGACACAACGGTTGTATGTATTAATAATATATTTTTACGTTACAGCTAGATTTAACTTTGGCAAGAATTCGTTTTTGACCGGTTTTGGATTGGGTTTTTTGGCGTTTGGCTTAAAGAAATTATTGCTACCCATCATCATCGGAGTACAGATCTTCAAATCCGTCGCACTCGCCGCTCTGTTACCGACGCTGTTGGGTAGCGTCGGAAAAGTGGTTTCAAAAGGTATGCAAATCTTTATAATAATAATAATAAATATAATATTTTTATTAAAAAAAAAAAGAAATACCTAATTCAATTATTTTGTGGTGTACTGATGTGACTTGTAGACTTTTTGAAAAAAAAAATTATTTCAAATATTTTTAAATTTAATATTTGCTGTCGTAATCAAATGGTATTTATGTTGAACTTATATACTATAAATATGTCGTCTGTATATTTATGAAATAAATTAATCTATGCAGTGCACTTTTATTGAGATAAAAATTTCTATAGCAATAGTGAAGAATAAAATATATGTGTCGCGGACGAGTATTTGTTTTTCACTGTTTTCTTTATACGGTTTGTCAGTTTACTTACTTTACGACCGCTTATTAGATATGTTCTTCTAAATTGCCTTCTATACCTTCTTCACTCGGACAACTTCGTTTTAAGGAAACCGATGAAGAGAAATTTTCTTATGTACCTAATAGTTTCTCAAGTTTGAACGTTTCGTTTTTATTTTTTTACTAGGTTTGCCTAATGTAAGTCATAAAATATATTGTATTATTATAACTTATAAGAAGTTAATACTGCTGGAATGGCTACCTATTAAATGAATAAATTCAGTAAATACAAATAAATAATAATAAATTAACATAATTACATTTATTTTTTATCAGAAATTTATAGATTCTGTATATTTTCCAATTACAATACAACAAACCTTTTTGTTTTAATAAATAATAATGACTTAAAACTATATAATTGATATTATTTAAGATTTTTTCATAATTTATCCGATGTGTTTATGAGACAATACAGTACAGACAATATTTTACTGAATTTTTTGTGATTTGATGTAAATAAAAATAAAATTTCATTTTAGATTTCATTACATTAAAGTCTTTATAACAGCCAATAACGCTTTATCCGAATTGGAAAGACATCAAATAGTCAATGAATCCAGAAAATATAATATGGCCAGTAAAAGAACAAACTCAATCGAAAAAAATGCAAATCTCTTAAAATATATAATAATATAATAAATTATTAATAAAAAACTGAAGGTTATACTAATTTATTTTCCTTTTATACTAAATCTACCTATATTGACAGTAATTTTGGAGAAATTCGAAATTGCCTTTTAATGTGTCATATAAAATATAATTAAAATTAAAAGCAACTTTAGTTCTTACCTCACATAATTTAATTTCTAGTAAGAAAATTTGTAAATTTATGTGTCCTTAGGAACATAGGATATTTGACTTAAAAAAAAAAAAAACTAATTTTAAAAATGTTTATTGTACATTTTAGATTTTAGAATAATTCGGAAACCTGTGGGTCTTCAAAACAATAATGTTTATGAAATCACTTGTATTTCGATTAATAAATCCTGACACTCTGAGAACTTTATAAATAAGTATTTATACTTGTTATTATGATTGGATAACTTGTTGCAGGCGTATCGAACTTCGCGTCGAGTTCATCGCACTTTGGGCCCAGCGCTGGTTCAGATGGTTTGAGTGACTTTGAATTTAAAGACCAACAACAACCAAACATCGGTCTGGGTTACGACACGGCTGGAGCAGCGGACACGTCTGGTTCGGAAACGGGTTACCAGAGTATTTGGACTTATCCGCCGGATAACAATGTGAATGCGATCACCGCGAGCTACGGAAGCAGCAACAGGTGACTAATAATAACATTGTATTCCATCTCAAAATATGCCGCATTGTCAATCAAGTCGCTAGACTGATGGCAATTGTGATGCATACTGCTATGTAATATGTGCCCTGCAGTTATAAATATTTACAGTTTTAAATCGTATTAAAAGAAATCGTATGTTTGTCGTACGTATTATAATAGAAATGATATCGGGACAATTTTAGAGTAAATAACATTTTGACTGAAAATACGGATTTTGGAGAACGGTTCGTAAATCGTCAAAATATCTTTCGGAATTAGGACCAGGAGGTCCAAAAATAGACTTTCCCACAAATATCTTCATAAAATTATAATTTATAGGTTAGGTGTACATTGTAGCAGGTTCTCTATGCATGCAAATACTTAGCGTGCGCAATAGGACTGTGTTTAGATGTAAAACTATATCGGTGAGCGTATTACAGAGACGAATACTTTGAAGTCATAATACGATCAACATAATATATTTATACAGTTTGGCAAATGATAGTATAGTTTATTATAATTATGTGTACAGAGTATATTTTTGATGGAATTATATTATTATCGTGAGGGTTAGTCGCAATAATTGTTTGATATAATAATTTTATTATGCAAAAAAAAAAATTCATAAAAAGACAGCTTTTGAAGTTTAAATGATTATGAGCATGAAAACATTTGATTTCGACTCAAATATATACTTATAAGATCATGATTTTTTTGACATTGAAATTACGCACGACACGATTGTTTGCGAATCCGGTTCACACGACGTATTCGTTGAGTAATTTTTTCGTTTAGGTACCACGCGGCCCAGTTCTGAAATATTATTACGATTTCCGTTCGTTACAATAAGATTTGTTAAAATCTATTTAAGTCAAACCGATGACCGTAAAAATAGCCCGCAGCAGGAGAAATAGGAAAAAACTTGCAGCTGTCATCTACGAATAATCAAGGAGCGTCATCAATTCTTTCTAAGCTTTCGGTTTAACCCTGGGGGGAAGGCCAATATTAGTCAAACTGTCTATTACAATGAACCGTGTGCTTATATATTGTTACTATTGTTATACATAGGTAATATAATATCGATTGTTTATATTGTAATAAGAGTTTTTGTTAAGCGATTTGGAGGCCATTAGTATTATTATTTTTCAAATTTAACTGTAAAACGTAAAATGTTAAAGTATTACTTAAAGTTCCGTTAGATATTTATGGATAATAAACCATGTCTAATAACTTATATCGCGCTCGAAATCATATATCCCTCAATTGATTAAGTCGATTTATAATTAAATTTGAAGAGCACGAATAATTTACACGAGAAGAAAATATATGTAATTCGGTGTACGGATAAAATATAGGTATAATAATATTATACTTGATTATAGTGCTCCTCACTGCGCTTATATTTTAATATTATTAGGTATTAACAATCCGGTTTTAGTATGTTGTTTTTGTGACCTAATATTGTACCGAAGATGAAAACATATTATATTTTATTTTCTCTCAAAAACACCGTGCGCTACACACCTCTGCTGCAAGTCGTGGATACATATCTAACATATTATGTATATATTTTATATATGCATGCAATCGTTTATTAAATTGCACCAAGACATGGTACACTGATACTTCGGACATGATAATATTTTTTGAATTGGAGGAAAACTGGAGGATAACGCGCCGTTTCGTATTTAGCGGGAACTTTTACTGTATTAATAAAATAATATATAAAAAATAAATATAATAATACAACTTGTGGACGAATATCTGTGTCATTACACGTTTCGTTACGCACATACAACCACAGCAGTCGCAAGTCAGTTTCGTCGGTTGCTTCGGGTAGGTACATACTTAAATATCGGTGTGTTTAGCTACTAAACGGTTGACGTTTAAGCCGAAATCCACTACGATCATAATACGTATATAACAATGTAATAGTATTATAATATATATTATATTATAGTGTTATTTGGTGGTAATAGGCGAGACACGATTACGCTCATCGCGTTTGTACCACACAGTGCATTGTATACATACAGCGACGCCGTTAAACGGTTCGTAAAAAACCGCACGACCGTTTAGGTTGAATACGGAAGAATAATAATATGTCAAGTCGTGTGTCTTGCTAAACGTTGTATTGTGTCGTTGGACCATCGATCGTATTGTGTCGTTATTGAACATAAACACGGTCGTGTGGTCGAAAATTTGAATAATCCAAGCGGATGAACGTGTATACGAGAGTGTATGACATATACGACACGTGCGACGTAAAAAATATGCGAAATTATACAAAACAAGTTTTCTAAAAAAAAAAAATACCTACTTCTAAGATAATCCGACCTATTACTATCTAGCGAAAAAATTAATGCGAACAAGTAAAAGTAAATATTTGATGAGTAATTCGATTAAAGTTTCTAAAATATTATGTTTATGTATCTACATCACGACGTACCTAAGTGTAGGTGCGTCATATCGGCATTCGGTAAGAGATTTTTTTCTTCTGAATAATATTATGAAAAGCGAGGGGATAGCTAAAGTTTGAGAAGATTTTTTTGAGTTTAGGTAAAACAATATTCATGGTGATCTATTAGAGACCTGCACCCCTATCGACACATATAATTTCTTAAAGTGATATCATTGTGGAAGAAAATCTAAATACTTGAAAATATTATATTATGGTTATGTATATGTTATTACTTTAAATAATATATTATGCACTTAATTTTTGTATAATATTATAAAATGACGACATATAAATGATTCATATAATGCCATCTACCACAAACTTTGATGGTGGTAGATGGTTACAATTTGAATTGATAATTAATAATTAATTATTAGAAGATAGGAGTGAACGTGCTTGGTAAACTGCCCAGTATATTATAATACTGTAATAATATTTGCGGTGTGAATTGATTTTTGACTCACGTGTAGCATTCGGACGACCAATTTATTTGGATAGTTGGCGACAAATCGACGTGTCCGCGGTGAAGCGAAAACAAACGGTTGGAAAACATAAATCATTTTAAAAAATCAATAACGTAATTTCATCTTTATCATTGTTATTATTGTGAGTGTGAAGATGGAAAACGGTAGAAACTATTGATGGTGGGACACGAAAACAAAACAATAACGAAATACACGTGGACGTGCTTCCAGGACCTAGTCTGGTCCGGACAACCGTTTGCTTGATTTTTTTTTTACTTCGGTTGCGCATTATTGATAACGCGAGTGAGCGCGAACTGGAAAATCGTCATTATTATTGTTATTAATTAAATATATTTCGGCCTACTGAACGTGGCGGCAGTCGTCGTCAACGCTCTCCAAAAAGGACACAAAGGAGAGAGAGCTCACGGATGAGCTGACGTATGTGCGTGCGTGTGTGGAACCAGTTTTTGGTTTTGTACGTGACCAAAGTGACCGGTGTATGAATTCCTCCTTGTCGTAATAATAATAATAATAATAATAACAACAACAAAATAGTAATAATAACGAAAAGAGAAAAACGCACAATAAGAGTCGGCAGAAGTCATTTTAACCTCAATTATTATTGTTGTAAGAGACAACCTAGTTGGCGTAAACGTCCTGTCCGTCTTTTGCCCGACTGGAGCGAAATCAAAAGTTGAAGATTTCCGACAACAAAACGTCATTATAAAAAGCATATATCATATTATTATATTATTATATACTGAAGCCGTTACCGTGGTATTGTGTCGAGCTTGGTGAAGAGCGTGAGCTTAATTGTTTTCCCAGTAATCTTCTTTATCCATCTGTAGTGGAAAAGAATTTCAAAATGTCGACAATATAACATATTATTATGGAAAAATCGCTGACTTTTGTAACGTTTGAATCGATTGTTTTCAAAAATTACGTACTTTACGATGGTAAATACAGCAATACCTACGTATATCGTCTGAATCTTGAACAAATTGGCGAGGTATATTATAAATGTATCTATACCTATTACTTATAAATAAAAAGAAGAACATTTTGTGATCGGTTCAATCGATTATTTAAATTAGGTATTATAATTTATTGCGTATATTAACCATCATTTGGACACGAGTCCATTCAAAAATCCTTTTAACTAAAAAACAACTCGTTTATATAAGGTAGACCGTGTTTTCATAATATTACAGCGAACAAGATTCGTTTGTACAATGTACAAACGAGTAACGATTTTAGATCCCGTTACAGGTTGGGATATTTTTGGTTTCCAAAAACCAGAATTAAAAAACATTTTTATACGGCTTAGTGCTTACCATATTTTTATACAGCGTCTACGTGTTTGATGTTAAAAACAAAATGATTATAATTATATCAATATGTTTCCGGCTATTTAAAGTTAAATTTTGTCCGTAACTCTAAATCGTATTATGGAAAAAAACTTACAGACCTATTTTAGCTATATACGAAGCTAATACTCAACGCTATCGTACGGCATTAGAATAGACTTGATTCGTCCATAAAAAAATATTCGGAACAAAATCTACATAACGTTCGATAATTGCTCACAAAAAAGCGAGAGCCACGAGTATGCTCCGCAGTCGTTCGTCTAGATTTGACTTTATGGGGATACCTTATACATTTTTACGATTTTTTTAAACTCTGAATAGTTTTCGGCGTACTTCCGTGACGACGATATCGTACCACGATATAATATATATATATACATAATACTTACCTGCAGTCGAACCGTCAAGGTCGCTTCGGCGTTTCGATGTTCGAGCCTCGGCCAACACGCTGCAACGCCGACCTACGCGGTGGACGCGTTTCCGAAAGAGAAACTCATCGGATAGGTATGATGTTGTATGCGATGGAATGTGTGTCAGACATATGATTTATAATTATTATTCATGTAGGTATATAATATATATTCTACGCATAGTATATTTATATAATTATATATATATATATACGATATATGTTCCAATGCAAACGCGCAAGAGTCGATTCACCCGCGAACACGTCCTACAACAATGTCGAATAAAAAATATGTAACTATTTAGTTAGGGTGTCACTGCATGTATCACGTTGATTAAAAATAAGACTCATATAACTAATTAACTGAATTTAACTATTTAATTCGGGGACATTAAAATTGAAAACAAATATTTACCAGTGCTTCTTTTTTTTCAAACCTGTGTTAATAATGTTAATATCCAGTAGATATAGTATATTATTTTATTAAGCTAATTTTTGAAAATTCCTCGTAGCTTAGAATTGAGTCTCCAAGTCTGGACAGGAGACAAGTGTACATATACTTAGTTGACGATGAAATATTTACTGTTGTATTGGAGTCGTACCCTTATAGAACAAGACCGCAGTTAAAGTTATAGTTTTTTAGCTTTGATAATAATAGTCGGGTTGAACTATTTTCCATAATAAATTAGCTAATAATCTAAAAATTAAATATCAAGATGTATTTTAGTTAGCCAGGCATACAATTATATTTAAAATGGCATTCTAGCATTGTACAGAGGTCGTTTTAAACTATCTGAATTCAAAATTATATCTAAACTAACAAATGTTGAGTTGTCTTGATCTAGTCGTGGACTATAAAAGTGTATGTATGCCTCCAAGGCTCTACGTAGCAATTTTAAAAACAAATTCTAATCAATTCGACGAGATTCATAGGTATATAATAATTTATAATTGACATCGGTGTATTTTTTTTAAATAGTAAAAAAAAAAATGAAAATAGGTACACGGCTGTGTATATATCATAATAAATCATCGAGACGTACCTAACTATATAAATCCTAATACATCATATAATATTATAAATGGCATGCGTGATGGCTGATGTGTGAAGAAATCGCAGACCATAATATAATTATATATCATAATAATTATTATACACACACTTTCCGCGGACTTGTCACTGACATGCCATTTTTCCAACGTGTGGTGGCCCATTCGTAAAAGTGAGATTACCTACACTATAATGTCTAATATACACATACCTACGTACACATGAATGGGACAAGTAGGGGGCAAGTCATCGATAGAATATATGTCATTCTCCCCTTCTAATATTTTTTTTTTTAAATATTCGTATAACAGCTGTCTTGTATATTATCTAAAATGTAATTGTAATTTATTCCGTAATAAATAATATGAGCAACAACAATATATTATTATAATTTGATACTGACAAACAATATTGTGGGCTGCACAGTCGGACTTGTTCGCGAAAAATGAACGATATGGTCGGAGGTCGATATGAATTATTTTATCGAATAGATGTATTCTCTATAATAATGAACGCATCATAATAATAATATTATCCATGTACCCATCATCACGATTCGTGTATAAATTAATGTCTTCGAATCACGAATTGATATACAAATTGTTTCAAGAGTCTTCATTCGATCCCGAATCCTACCATTAATTGCAGCTGTAAAAGATCCATATACCTTATTATTGTAATAATAAAAATAAATAGTCAAGTTTGTTTCTGTTAAATTATTTTTTATTTTTATTGACGGTAAACTACGTGTCTTGTGAACGTTTGTAATGATTAGAGTCGTAGTGCCGTAGTGCCGTCAGTAAGACGTGTCCTGATGACGAAGCCTCAACAGAAAGCTGCTTTGTGTACTATTTTATATATTTTACACCTATCACCTCTGTATTTTCAAAATAGGTATGCATTTTTCAAACCGGATGAAGATCATGATCACTGTATATTGTTCGTTTTCTTAAATTTCGGTCGAAACATTATTTCCGTGCACGGATTTTGACAATTGATGGACGCCTGCGCCATCGAAATAAGCTACTTCGTGATAACATACATAGGTAGTTACACTAAATTATATAGGTACCTACACTAAATTATTATTATATTAATAATAATGTTTCTCTATGATATATTATTTTCGTAGCGTATTGTTCCTTTCGTATTGTTGTTATTGATAGACCACCACATTGATGGGCCGATGAAATAATTGAAGCGCCGCGCGGTTGTATAGACACACACAATATATCACTATTATATTAATGTACAATGTACAACCATTGCAGCACGCGTCACGAACTTGAACCGAGACGCCGTGTTTCAAAACATCGTTAATTTATCATATTATTTTGATTATTATTATTATTCGGTCGTATACGTATAGGTACGAGAGACAGACATTGGAAACTGGACTCAACATAATAAAACAGTATATAATATTATAAATGCGAACATCGATCGGGTCAGGCCAAGGAATCTCGCCGTTTCTCCGTTATTGCAGTGTTCTTCTTATACACTGCTGCAACGGCACGTACAACATTCAGTGAGACGGAAATTTCGAGAGAAAAAAACATTTTTACACACACAGAGAACATTGTTTACCGATTTCTAACGAAAAATCCGGCGCAGAGTAATTTGAAAAATCTATCGGTCGGAAGATTATACGGACGTTTATAAACGGATTACATTGCTGCAGATAATAATATTATCTAGTATATTATACTGCAGATAAATCGTATTTTTTAAGTACAACATAAGTATTTTATAATAATATACCTACCTACGTGGTATTGAAGTAAGCTTATTAGTGACTAAGCCGCCGCGTGGTTTTCTATATAAGAGTTTGATTTTTTTTTTATCGCAGACGTCTATTTTTTCGAGTAAGTGTATTTTAAATAGGTATTAACCGCGTTTACCGCACTTCCCAAATCTGAAAACAATGAAACGTGTACACACACAATATATTATCATTCATAATATTATGATTGTCGTAGGTATATAGCTAAGCTGGTCCATATATAGGTACGACTTATAACACTGCGTTGGTATACCAATACGGTCGTATTTTCCACTGCAGAGCTCGTTAGTCGTTATTATTTACCATTTACCAAACACCATCCATTAAACAATTCAGAATAATTTTATGCGAATCTCGCATTCGGTCAGATCGAAACGAAACACCATAATATATTATAATATATTGTTATTAATTAACCGTATGCTATCGCATCTCGGACGGTCGTAATATAGTGCTTTGAACCGCATCTATGGTGGGTTCAATACTAATCAATAGAGACTTAAACGACTTCGGAAGACTTCCATGATGCTGTAGCCCAATGACCGGTCGTTGAGTTTTTATGAAATGTCATCGAGTTTAAATGGTGCAGCGTATAACTGTATTTTTTTAGGCCATACGCATAATATACATTATATTAATATCTATCTCCAATGGTATTTAAATATTTCTGATTCACCAATCGATTGATTGCATCCGTATATATACGTGACACGTGGTCCGTATACTATAATATCCTCGTCGAAAATAAAATAATCATGCTTATAATATTTACGATAATAATATTATTAGGTAGGTGCTTTATTACGATAAAATCCTATTCTAAAGCGTTTATTTTTTTATCGATATAACGCACTCGTTTCTGTTTTTTAATTAAAATTTCTAGGTCGGGACATAATATACCAACTATAGGACCTATAGGTACTATAATAGGTATAATATTGTGACTGACGATAAAAAATAGACGTCGAGTTGACACTTAGCTGACGTTTTATTTATTTATTTTTGTTTTCCGTACGTGATGGTAGATAGTCGTAATAATACATCCACGTATTATAGCTAATATCATTATAGTATTCGTAATCCGATAATAAAAAAAAAATCAGATAAATATTTATAGTGTTTGATTGATGCAATTCAGAGTGGCATGGCACAATTGAAATGATCGTGGGAGGGGGGGGGGGAGAAAGAATTTCAAGCAATACACACACAACTCATTGTTATACCTGTTGCACCTCGCCCTTTTCTCGAAAAGCAACCACCTGTAGACTGCACTCCAAACAATACACAGGCGGAGATTTGATTGCATTTTAGGGGGGGGGGGCTAAAATCTTTCTTTACAAAATAAGAAGTGGGGCTTTGAAAAATGTTCAATAATTTTGGGGGTGGGGCTAAGCTACCCCCCCCCCCCCCCCCCCAAGTACTCCCAATCACCGCTGTTTCGTAGACACATCGTCGGCACATCCGTTTGTTACCGCTTAAATGGACATCCAACCCATCCAACCTCCCTTAAATCACAATCGATATTATAACTGCAGTATACTTATAGAATATAGATACATCATATATTTTATGTACGATGCACCTACACACGTCGCGATTATTTAAATATAATGTAATTCAATGTATTAATTATTCGTTATCATTTGACTGCAGGTATCCGCTGAAATACGGCCAGAATAGCGTATCCGCCACCAAGCTGCAGTCGGGCAACTATTACACCAAGGACAAGACCGAGGACTTTAAGGTGTTCCACACGATACCTGCCAGTTCGCACCTGTTGGCCAACTACGATCCGTTTTACAGCCCACTTTTGTCCAGGATCGACACAGTGTACAAGCAGCTCGGGTACACGACGGAACCTTGCCGGGAACGGTTGGTGTGCCAGATGTACAAGAACCCAGCCAAGTTTGCGCCGTACAGCAATCTCGTCTCAGCGCAGCTCAGCAGGTCAGTCCACGTCTTTTTTTTGTAAAACCTATTTTTATGTAGATAAACTCATTATCTATTCCGAGTATGGTTACACGCTTAGGTACCTAGGTAGGTACTTACCTATGTAAAACAGGAGGCACATTGTCGTAACGATATCTGTGGGTTGTAGATTGGGTGCTAGATATATATAACGATCTATATCCTTATAGGTGTAGAACTCCGTAATAAATAATTGACAACAAGTATTGTATAACGTTAGTTCTTTTATTACTATTGAAAAAAATTTTCATTTATTGAAATAAAAAAAAATAACTAGTTAGGCTATCACGATCGATATTAGCAGATTAATTCAATTTTTTACAAAATTTATGATTTCTTCTTTAACTTAATAGTAAAAAAAACATCAACATGGATCTGCATTAAATGCACAATCCTTGTTGTTAATATCAATTGATTAAAGGACATATTATGACGGGTCAAATACCAATAAAAATCATAAATGTGTAAAAACAGAGGTATTAAATTAAACTTTACAATGAGGTAATGTAATAAATTAATAATTTATACAATTATACAAATATATCATATTATATCATATCGAAGATGGACGATAAACTTCCAATTTAGATCGGTGTAAGAGTTTGTAAATGTATTGATAACACAAACTATTTATTTTCAATGATCACAATAAAATTTAGTCAGAAACTATTATATTATGACTTATGAGATATAGGTACACGAACTAGGAGACTGCGGAAGACATAACAATATGCCTTGCAGTAACTTCTTTTCCTTTTTCGGTGGCTTTAAAAACCAACTCAAACATAAAATAACGATTTTCGCTTGCGAAAACTGTATATTTTTATTACAAAGTCACGAATCGTATTATTAATAAAAAATATCAAAAAAAAATCGCGTAGGTACTTTTTCATTTGTGTCCAAATCGCTATTTTACCGTAGAGTTTAAGTTCTACGTACAACTACGCACAGCCGTTATTAGTTTTTTTTTTTAGTCACAAAATAATAATACACAATGCAAATGATTTTCTGCAGCAGTGGGTAGTTGTGTGTGAGTACTATCCAAAATTAGAAATTCACCATCGCCGGTAGTGGAATATTATTATTATTATTATGTTATTATAACTTATAATATCTTCAAACGTCGACAGTAAGTAGGTAGTATTCGTCGTTCGTATAACATTTGTTTATTTTACTTTTAGTTCACTTTTAACATAATATGATATCCGTATTCAAACATATTATCCAAATTGAATGAGCTCGCAAATCATTTATCAAATATTATATTTCTCGTTTGACGCAGAAAATTATATTATAAATTTATAACTATAATTGTTATTATTGTCATATCGAATTATACAAACATAATATAAAATTGCTGTTTGATCGAACGACGGTTGATTGGCGTTCTGCACCGCAGGGTTATCGGACAGCAATTATTCTATTTAGCACAATGCACACGTTAAGTTATAACAATAATTAATAAGTTACCAAATTGACGTACACGCGCGATACTTTCACTCGGCCGATGAGCATAAAAGTGCTTTAATCGCGTGAGTATTGTTTTGTTGGCGCTTGCGACGATATGTAGGTCGTGACGAGCTTCTTCTTATTAGGCTGTTAGACAAACATGTTATTAGAATAATATTATTACCTAAACGGACGGGTAGGTATAATATTTAAAGAACAGTCATCGCCGACGATTTTGTGTTTTCTATTCCGCTTAAAATCACGACACGTCACGCGACCACCGCATCCGCGATTAATTATTGTCCATAATGATATCATTATTATTATTAACTATACAGTCATCAATTATTTTATTTTATTTTCATTATTATAAGGCATAGGTACGTACTAATGCGGATACTCTGCTTTGAACAAATTTAACCCATACAATCGAAATTATTAATTGGCACTATGGGACAATAATAATGGAGTTACGATCATGTATACACTGAACATAGTCATATTAAAACCGTTTATTGTATTTATTGTAGTTATAATATTATATTTAATGATAGATTTTGAAACTCACTAGCCAACATCGTACACGTTAGTTTAAAATGATGTTGGGGTCCAATATACTGAAACAATAATAACAATATAACGCTTGAGTATATAATGTACTCAAAAAGAATTTAATGAAATCTTTAAAAACTTTCAAAACACTGTTATATTTTTATAAGGGAAAATATAGATGTATATGTTGCTTTGTCTGGTCAATGCATTTTAAACATTACCCAAAATTATTAATTTGAATTTGATTATAGACACAACGATTAAAATTAAACTTTAAAATCTGTTATTATTGTATAAGGTACATTTTATTAAAGTAGGTAATATTTATTTTTAGTTCAATCATTTTTAATTTTTATACAATTTATAATACAAACCATATTTGTATAGTAAATATCCAATTGTTTACAATGATATTTATTTAAATATTTTAATACATGTTAACTTATAAAACAAATTTACTGTTCTGCTTATGTATAATATTAGATAGGTCATAGATGTACTGGTGTATAGAGTATGTGAGTGTCACACAATAATTTACTAATTGAATCCACATTCAGGTAATGAAATTCACATGACACCCATCCACATTCAAATAGTAATTCTTCGTAGGATTTTCATATTTTGTTTCACGTCATGTTTAGAAATCTGAATTGAAATAGAGCGTTTATTTTGTTAATTAAATGTACGCTTAAAACATATTCTAAAGTAATCTAATCCAAATTAAAAATTAGCTTATTTATTAAAATATTTAAATTGGGTTACACTATAATTACCGCGAGAATGTTTATATGTTTATTTCCCATTGTATAATGTACTTACATAACACGTGTTGTAAGTATAAACTATGAAAACAATTAAGTTTTTTATTTAGTAGGTAAACAATTTTACTTATTTGGTTATACTTGAATAATTTATTCATAACTTTACCTACTTAAAAAGTAAAAATAATATTTACATAAAAACACATCCTAGAAACTAATAAAATTTATTGTATCCGTTTCGTTTAATTATATGTGTATACTATATATGTATAGAATAATTAAAAGACGCATAGGTATGTGATGAATTATTTTTAAAGTAAAATCTGTTTGAAATTCATCTCAAAAGCTAGTTTTTATAGTCCAACTACCATTTTGTCATTTCGATAAAGGAGGCTAAATGTGAAAGTTTGATAACACAATTGTAACTTAAGCCAAAAATCACTATCAGTACCTAGTTGTAAATTTGTAGAAACTATATTAGCATATTTTCTCCAATGAGACTGATTTGATTACAGTACGTGAAAAAAATGTAAATACAAATTTCAATTTTATTTTAATTAATCTTACCTACGATCGTACCAATATAAAATCCATTTACGAGCGTATTCGAAGTTCAGACATAATTTTAGTACCTAATTATTTTCGTTAATTTTTTTATTTACATGATATAATGTTACCGATTTAATTTGCAATTTTATAAGCACTATAAATTATTCACCCATCATAAAATCGTGAATCACGTACCTAGGTACAAAACCAGTAATCACGTGCATAAAGTAAACAAAGTGTAAAAAAAATATAAAAAACAGCAATAGAACACGTATTTTACTATATAATTTTATCACTTTAAAATGTGTCAAAATATTTTTCTTGTTAAGTAAAATTGGTATTTTTAAAATACCTAGTGATTAACAAGGTGACATTGAATCATATTATAAATCAACTTAACTATTATAATATAGGTGTATGCATAGACTTTTATTTTGATACTAGCTGATCCCGTGCACTTCGTTGCCCATTAAAAATACCAACGCTATATAAATATTTTTTTTTTATATATAATATAACAGTGACAAATAATAATTATCTATTTTTAATATAAAACCGTTGTCACATCATAAAGCGTAGGTATAGAATAGTGTTGCAAATTTCAAGCAAAAATAATATTAACCATAACTGTTTGGTATTCCAGAGAGCTAAACGAACTGCGCAAACCATCGTCCGAGAACCCGGAGATATTGCGATTTTTCAAGTACATGAAAGCCGCCAAAGACGGTCAAGACAACAAAGACTGCGAGATGATTTTCTCGTCATGCGTGTCCCAAAGGTCGCCAGACGATTCGGTGCCCATGATGACCACTTACAACGAGATCAACAAACTGGTACAGGCCAGAAACGCTAAGAAACTGGCGGAATCGTCCACAGTCTCCGACGGGGTGAAGTCGGAATCGTCCACAGTCGCAGACGACGTAAAGTCGGAATCGTCCACCGTCGCAGACGACTTAAAGTCGGTATCTTCTACCGTCGCCGAAGTAGAGTCGGTATTGACACATTGAAGTGAGTGGTGTGTTATTAATAATAATTTATTATCATTATAATATGGTATTATATTTGATTTCATCACGAAGTATACTTCCGCACTGGGAGGCATGGGCATGAGGCATGGGCGTGCATAGTGTTTGAAATTGGGGGGGGGCTGTAGAGTGTAGATCAGGTCTATACTTGATACTCTTATGATACTTTTAATTTATAGTAGTGAAATTATTAGTTTTGGGGGGCTATAGAAATTCTAGGGTTGGGGGGCTAAGCATCCCCAGCCACCACTCTATTTGCGCCTATGCATCCTCATCTGCACTTCTTGTCATTATCATAGTAGGTATAAGGAATAAGAAGTATGCTCAATGATAAGACTGCGCATAATTTTCTAAGGGGCAATGTATAATTTATATAGGCAACCAACAATAAACACAAGGCGACTTCGCGAGTATACATTTAATCTTATGCAATGCAGTATGCACAAAAACACAAGGCGATGCACATGCGCGAACCAGGACGAAAACTCGGTTCGAGTTGATCATACTTCTTATTTCTTATACTATGGTCATTATATTAATATATTTTGACTTTATCGTCAGTTAGTTTGTTGTTCAATTCACAATATAACAATTTATAATCCACGAATAAAATCTATGTAAAAAAAATGTTTCATATTTATATAGATATAGTTTACAACGATTACCAAATATTATATATTTTTGACCGTAAGATAATAATTTTATAATGACGGACACATTTTTTTTCGCAGGTAAATAGACGACGGTTTTTTCGATCCATGACGCAGCGTGGCAGCATATATTCAAAGTCATTAGGAAATATATACGATACCTCGTCTAGCTCAACATAGTTTTATAGTTGTAGTTATTTTGTATAGTTACGGTTATAGTTAGTATGCGGAATGCGCACATATTATCGTAGGATGATAGTTATTTATTGAGCCCACGGTATACTGTTATATTATGTTATCGGTATAACGCGCGAGTCGTATTTTCATCATCATAATAATATAATAATAATAATTTATTGTGTACTATACTCCGTAAACATAATATTTCGATAATTTGTCATAGTTTTCGCTCCTAGTCGAATTGGATGCATAATAATATTGTAATATTCCATGTTCGATCGAAACACGCAGGTATGTACCACCAGCGGAGTACTGGTATCGTCGCACCCTTGACAAATTCATCGAATTTTATGTTTTCGATACCTATTATATATATATATTTATATTTATATTTATATTTACTGCCGAAATGATTTTCGTTAATATGGGAACATGTTGTCTGCCGAATTCATCTCAAGTTCAGACGAAATACGAAAAACGTATTTTGAGTCCCATCCTTGGCACATCTATTTATTTATTAACTTATTATTTATTTATTTATTTGTTTGATAATTTATTTATTTATTCGATTTTGAGTTGCTCAACTCGAAGCGTGGGACGGAAGTACTTACGTGGAAAAACGTTTTCGAAACGTTTCTAAACATTATTTATGATATCGATACAATTATATGTAAATACATCGATGCTGCTTATTTAGGCACCTTACATTATTGTTACGATGATATTGATTTATAATAAACAGTATTCCTAGTTTTTATACTAAAAACATTTCGATACAAAGATTTTCGAATATCTAGGTATTATTTTATTATATCATATTATTTTGAACTCGCAGTAATAATTATAAACTATATATTTTATACGCAATGTCGAGTTCAAAACAATGGTGTCTAACGTAACAACTATAGACAGGTATTACACAGATCTGCATTGTAATAATAATTGAGTGATATGATATTATTTGTTATCAGTAAAATTAAGTGCTTAATTAATTTATATCAGTGATATTATTATAATATTAGTTATTTAACTTTATATTGTAAAACATCTTCATTTAAAGATCATGAAAGATCCGAGTTATTTTACTTAACAGATCGAATATACTGATGACTAGTGATTTTGGTCACAGATAATCATCCAACTCGTGTATTTATATTATGATATAATATTGTTTTAAATCGATTATTATTAATATTAATATATTTATTTTGTTTTATAATTTTGTAAACACCAAACACATATTATGATGTATAGAGCCATACAATGTAGATAGAGTATTACATAGAATAATATAAAATGATAGTTGTGTATTTATCATTGATGTATTGAGTACACAACTATGCATCAATATTATTAGTATTATATTATAGTCAATATTTTGTAATTTATTTGTGCACTAATCAAACGCAGTTGTTTTTAAAATCATGTTTTTTAATCGAATTTATATTTTTTATATCTTTTCGTTAAGCATCTGTACCTTCAAAACACTTCCATTGTTAGCTCTTATTAGTATAAAAACTTTAAATTTAAAAATATTTTTATCAATAAATTGTGTATCAATATATTTTGTTTGTTATTACTTATTAATATTAGTTATTCAATATTTTAACTCGAATCAGCTAATAGCATAACTCTGTGTATTACTTCATAGGACGCATAATATAATATCTTAATATAAAACTCAAGAAAAAATTTAAGTACCGAAATTCAATTTTTAGCATAATAATTATATTGTGATATAAAACGCTTTATATAATATCAAATCCAATTATTTGATTTTTATGATGCTAGTTATTAACTAGCCTATGTACATTAGTATGTTGCTGTTCTATTTTAAATATTATACTATGTATTCTTATAAATCAAAATCAGTATTTATTGTTTTAGGTAAATTATGGTAAAAACCAAAATGTTTCTAATTATTTTTTTTAACAAAACATAAATTACTGTTTTCTATTTTTACTTTCAACAATACCTTCTTTCCAAAGTAAGATTTTTCTGTAAATTTAACTTAATTCAATTCTTAATAACTTTAAATTTCTATTACATAACTGTCGACAGTTATTGGCTCAACAAATATCACATTTGCTGGGATAATATTATTAGGTTAGTGATTTAATATAATATACAGCTTTATTTTAACTGTATTAGAAAAATACATATATATATATATATATATTGTCGTAATATTTATTAACACATTTTGTCGATAACTATCCACTGGACAGTAATGTCAGTAATTGCCTAAATAATGCATGTTAGATTTCATGGAAAGGTTGTAGTGGAATAATTATAGAATTCGACACAAATTAATTTCCTTGTTTTGGTGTCATTTAAAATCTGTAGATTAATAATCTAACTATTATCCAAGAACATTTTCGATAAAAATATAATATGTTATACCTATAAAATTAAGTTCCTTACCTGAAATAAATAAAAAAAATTGAAAATATTGGTATTCATGACGATAATTTACAAGTGTTGCATATACATTATGCCGTACAAAATATTTTATTGAGATATAAAATATAAGTTTTGATAAACAGTCTTTATTTATTAATACCCCTTTTAAAATATTAAACATTAAACTATAAACTTAAATAATAAAACCTATTTGAGAGAATGCAAAATTAAAATATAGAATTTGTCATCCGTACCTACCTAATTAGAACAATAAATAAATTGTTTGAGGTGTATAATAGTTATCACGCGTATAAGAAAAATGTATCGAAACTCGGTATATTAATAATTAATTAATAACTATGAAAATGTGTGGAATCTTAAAAATAACTGTATACATCGAATGCTGTTCTATTTGTATGTGCACACTAGAAATAAATGCAAACATTTTTAATTTTTAATATCATGATTTAGTTTGGATCTATCGTTTCAAAATGTCTATACATCAATAATGGGCTGATAGTAAGTCATAGTATGTATTGAGATGACAGATGAGCTGCCGTGCATGTTACATTGTTTATCGCTAGGTACTTTTTTATTTGGTTCAAAACTAAAATATTTATTGTATTAGTTATGGCAACATATAGTTCATCAATGCAAATATATATCAATAAATTGTAAAATATATCAATGACCATTTTGTTTAATCAATAATTAATAAACAACTTTTGAAAGAGGTTTTAAGCAGTGTATTATAGCTAATAATACAAAAAATATATTTGAGTATTGCATAATCTATTGTAAAAAAAAATATTTGTATAAAATATTTGTTATTTCAAATTTAAATCGCATAGAAATCACTTTGTGACATCTCAGAGAATATATTTATAAACACTTTTTTTTATAACATCTATTTAAAATTACATAGTAGTAGTTATGCGATGTCGCATTTGGGACTGAAAAATATAGTCTCTGAGATATCGAAATCACCTTTATGCACACAGGGTTACTACTTATTAGAAACCTAAATAAGCCATTGAGTTTTGATAAAACAATTTTTACCTTAGCAAATTTTTATTACGTTCTAAAGACGTCTATATTATAGTATATTATGTGTATATTAAAATATTTATGTTAAGGGGAAAAACCCACTTTATTGTTATAATATTATGATGTTTACTAATTTTATAGACCAAAGTCTTATCACAAAAATGTAAATTTGTAATACCTATTGTTTTTTTCGTTTACTAACCAAGCTTTAGCACCCGAATCATTTATTCGGGTTTCGGGTTTTGTATGCTGGTTGTATTTGGAATTCGTACGTTCGAACACTAGAATATAAAATTTAAACAAACGTTTACGTACCTATCTAACAAAGACTGTAAAACATTTATTTAGAGAAAACTGAAAAGTGAAAGATTTCTTATTTTTGATCCCCAAAAGTACCAATTTTATAACGATTCGTTTTTCTTCACAAGCACGTGCACTTATAATTGTACTTTTAATTACATGCTTAAAAAGGACATGAAACATTGGGTGGAGATCTTTAGATATCATTCGGAATGGTTGAGAACGTATGTAAATAGAAGATTAAGAGAGTAGAGAAAAACATACTAAGAAATACCTAATAATGCTGCGAATCATGCATTCAGGAATGAAGATGATTGGTTTTAGTAGGTATGTAATTTCATACAAATTTGAATTTAAAATGTCTGTATAAAATTACTCTGTTCATATTATATTTTTTAGATT